AAAATTAGCCTTGAACATATTTCAAATAATTGTGATCGAATGTTGAAGGTGTCAGACAGATGAAGCTAGAGTCAGCATCCTGTGCTCATAAAAGTACACACCCAAAATGATGGGGAAAATGTGCCAAATGGAGGGCTTTGGGGCCAGTGGTTTAACAAGTTAGTTACATTGTCTATCCTTTGCAAGCCACACACCTTCATGTTCCACCTTGACTGAACTTGAGGCTCTTGTCAAAAGCAGCTCTCCAATGTGAAGAGACAAAGTTGTATAACTTCTTTAATAACCACCTCTTCCTTTTCAGTGAGCTGTGTTCTTCCACCGGGACAAATGCCTTCTAATATTTTATATATTCCTGGTCAGTGACTTAAAAAAATAAAAAGCCTATCCAATTGCAGTCTGCCATTCAAAAGGAATATTTCTGCAAAGAAAAAGATGTGAAAATGTAGGCATTCAAGTGAAAATTCAATCCTTCACAGTACAGAGCCTCTGTGAAGTTTTTTAAATGACCCTTTTTATCATGGTGCCATGTCTGTACCTTTCTGAATAGTGAGACCTGTAAGAAAAATAGATGTATGTATACAAGTGGTTGAGTAATGTATTACTCATATGTACTTTGTTCTTTTTGGCAAACTGACCTTATCAAAGGAAAGAAAGCTATACATTGTGACAAGCTGAGCCTTACCAGAAAGTCTGAATTAGGAGAGTGAGTCCTCTTATCTGGATTAAAATGTGATCAGAACCAAAAAAAAAAAAATAGTAATAATCATTTAGTCTCTCGAGAAGTGGGGATACTGGGAAATTGAGTTCTGTTTGAATTAAAATCTAAGCTCTTATTGTGTATGTATTTAGCTGCCAGAATGGCTGCCTTAAAAAACAGTAATTATAACAAATACTTATGCCCTTTAATACACATCTCTTCTTTGATGTTTAAATAAACAGTTTTAAGCTTTTGATTTTCTATATTTTATAATGAACTATTATAAGAGGATGGTGACCAAATATCCATCACTTTGTCAGAAGCAAGTGCTGTCCTGCTTTGATTCCATTTGTTACATTTAAATGCAAATTTAAATTATGTCATTAATATTATGCAAGGATTAGAGAGCATTGGTAGCTATTTAATAAATAAGCCCCTTAGATCTTATATTTTTATAAAGGATACTTTCCTTATGATAATTTAAACTATTTTAGTGCAATTATTAAATTGTTTCAAAAACCAGTTATTGAAAGGGATAAGAAGGAAATTTATTACTTTAAAAGTAGACACAAAGACCAAACTTGACAATCTCTGAATCTTTTGTGATAGGCAACTTCTTTTCAAATGAGTTCATAAAGATTAGCAAATCTATCTGGAATGGGTAAAGCCAAGGGGCAAAATGCTATCTTATATAGCATAGCACACAGGTACATCAAACTAGAGGTGTTTTTATTTTCAAGAAAAGAGTGTACGTGTTTCTATTGCCCAGTTACTGTGCATATGGGTTCACCAGATCTAAATGTGTTTGCCCAGTTAATTACTCTGCTGTTCAACAATGATGGCCAATGATCCAAGCAGTCTTTTCCTCCTCAGACATAGATGAAACTCATGCACACAGAATGTCTTTTCTGCTCTATAATTATTTTTTTTCTTTTGAAATGAAGCCATCAATTCAATTATATTTTAAAAACAGCATGTGAGAGAATATATGGAATACATGTCTCTGCAGTCCTTCGGAGAAAGCTGGAAGATGGTTTCCTCTACACCACTCTTGCTGGTAACCAACTTCCATATTAAAAAATAATGGCTGATCAAAAGTGTTCATCATTATCCTTAATTAGTATGTTGGTTTGCAATAGTTATCTTCATTAATACAGACGAAGGTGTGTTCTTCCACATTCAATTATCCGTGCTATCTATCCCTCCATGCTGGTGAGCAGATAACTAAGCTTAAGAAGTAGCAGATCAAACAAAGAACCCTAGTGTAAGGACACACAGGAGTCAGGTAAACTGGCCTAATTAGCATTGTAATTAGCTCATGTGATTACTAAAACAAAGCAGAGCAACCCAGGAAACACTTGGAAAGGAAGCCTGGTGGTGCCCCACCCCCTACGCCTTGTCTCTAACTCAGGGAAGAGCCCTATCATATGGTCTTCAGAAGCCCCTGGCTCCCCAGCCTCTAGATGCCAAGTTCACGCCCAGGCCTAGGAGTTAAAAGATGCACAAGGTTTACATGGCTGCTATTGTGACATTAGGGTTTTAGCAGAGTGAAGCCTCCTGTGTAAGCATGGGAAGGGGAAGGGAAAGGCAGGCTTGGGCTTCTTTTAACACCACTGTATTTGCTTAGTTTGTGTAAATGTTAAATGTTAATTCATATACTTCTATTCACAGGCTTCCATCAACACCATTTATAAAACACAAGTCCCGGGGTGGAGCCCACATGCCTAAAGGGGTTTCTTTAGAATTTTATATGTAATCGTTAAGGCTTCTTGCTATTTGATATAGAATTCTGTCTAATTTTAACCAGTTTCAAAAAAGGAATAGTTCCAAAGCTTCATCCAGAAAAGATGACAGAGAACATCAGTGAAAATCTAAGGGAAAATAACCATTGTGTGGAAAGCGAGTAAGTGAAATCGAGCTTGATCAATTATAAAGAAAATTCTATTTTATAATACTAACAATTAAATGATACTAATTCCTTAATATTAATAATAATAATTCCTTTTTCATTAGAAACAGGTTTTACTCTTTATTTTACTTGGTCTTTGCAATTACCCTGAAAACTAGAAAGATGCTTTAATCCTAATTTCACAGAATTAAATGACATCAATGGTGCTGAGTGAGAGAGTATAGAATCCACATAGCACAATCCTTAGACTTCCAGGTCGGCCAGGGTCTATTGGTTCCTGCTAGCTGTGCATGGTGTTCACATTTTTCCTGGGCCAGTGAGACACAAAAAAGCTTTGCTGCTTTCATTAGCCTTGGTCTGTTTTAATCTCAATTGTTGTCTTCAAACTTAAACTGTGTTGTTCAGTTAAACTGTGTTTTGCTCAAATTGTTCGTTATCTTTGAACTTAGATGAGCATATCATGTATCAATCATTACTGAAACAAAACTGTATCCACAAAGGAAAAACATTTTAAAATATTCCAATTAAAGTCTCTATAGACATTATGGAAACTGTCAATACTGTCTATACAAATCGTAGACAAATTACTACAGCAGCACGTAAAATCGATATTGAGACTCAGAGTAATTGCATTGTTCTTGTGATAAGAATAGTATTTGGGGGGCTCTAAGATACTGCAATACCACTTTCTAATGCTTATGTCTAGTTATCTTCAGAAGAATTAAATTCATAGTGAGGATTGCCACAACTTAAAAGGCACATCCATACCATTAGGAATCACAAAAACAAGTGACACTATTATACTGTTGCTTTTCAGAACTGATAGTGAAAATTTGGTAAATAGTCACAAAATGTTATTTGCGGTCCCCTAAGGACTAATCAGATGCAGAGAGAATGGTTTCATTACTAGCAAAAACCTAGATTCCTATCCTCTGTTATACATAAAAAGTTTTAAACAAATATACAACCAACATATGCTTGGTGTCTGCCACAGAATTAAGTATAAAGCAGCTTGCATAAACATACAGGGCGTGATAGGCAAACCACAGGGAGTTATTTGGAGCAACTACTGGGAATGCGAAGGCTGGTAGAAAGAGAACATAGACCTTCTGCCTCTAGTTTCTCATTGCCTCTTATGTAAAGAATGGAAAGGTCAATGTGGGGTACCTGGACTCTTACTTAGCAGCTTGCTCTATGATGATGTGAAATAGTTGGACTGAAGTGATTGACTTGTAAAGGTGATATTGATGACACAGACCCTTTGCTCCTCTACTCAGTCTTTAGATTTAAGTGATGTAAGAAATGGAGAAGGGGGAAATTCCCAAGCCAATTTATTTTAAATTTTCAAACTGGAAAAAAAAATCTTAAGCAGCTTTTATTAAGTGATCTTTAAATGTACTACAGGAGGCCCACACATCAAGTTTCAAAACAGGATAGAAGATGGTGGTCTGGCAGTGTGGAGCTGAATATGATGTCCTGCACTTACCAGCCATGAATGGAGCATGGCCAGACTAGTTAAATGAAGTAAGATTTTTTTTGAGGAAAAAAAAATGTAGATCAAAAGACATATGACTCCCACTAGTTGAGGTACAAAAACATTTCAGTACTCTATGGGGCAAACTAAAATAGCAGATTATACAAAGTATAAATAAAACAAAATTGCAATATTGCATATGGAAAATGATCCACTCACTTTTTATGCATTCTGTTGGTTTCATTATGTGTGTATCCCTGCCTTTCTAAAGCAAGGCTTCTAGGATCCCCTGAAAATGCCTTTAGTTTTGCAACTGAACATGTATATCTTTGAGATGGTCTATAACTTCTATCAGGTAAACAAAGGCGCTTATAACCCTTGGGGTTACCATTCACTATCTTGTAGCAAATTGATAACAACTTCCCAAGGAGATTTTCCTTTTACAGTTTTCTCCATAAAAACAATCAATGCTTCAGACTTTGACTGTACCAGTCACCACCCAGCTGTCTTTCTTTCCATCCTCCAACCTGTTCTCCACAGCAAATAGTAGCAGCTGTTAGACTAGCCATGAAAAATTCCTTATCATATTTTAAAACCACTAACAAACACTAACCTGATAATTTTCATTTCAGGGTCAAGCTCAGACTTCATGTTTTAGCACTGAAATGCATATTCCTGGATTCTTTACCACCTTGGCTGATAGTACCTGACATTTATAGAGTAACATAATATGCCAGGGCTGTGTTCTTTAAATTAAAAAAAAAAAATGGACTCACATATTCTACCAAATGGCCCTGTAAGATCTGTCCTGTTACCATCATAACCCAGATGTATTGTATGGAGACTTCAGGAGTAGAATATCTGCCTCCATATGCAAAGCCTCTAAATATCAGCTTAGAACTCAGCCCCATGCAACTTACCCCTGCAGGCGCCTCCAGCAGTGACGTTGCCTCCTGCCTTCTGACAGCATTGATACAGTCATTCTTCTGTAGATGGCTGGGTATTCCCCTTGAAACAGAGCACATTTGTGAGCCCAAGCTTCGTTCATATTCTGTTCTCCCCACTTCTAGGAGGACTGAAATCTCCCCTTTTGTAATACGTTCATTAGCTCTTCTGTCTTGGAACCCTAAGACCTGCAACATCCACTCCATCACAGCCCATGTGTTACTCAGATACAACTTTGCGTTATGAGTTTTCTCTAATTGGACGGGAAGACACTGGTGGGCAGGGCTTCGATCTTCCTCTTTGGTTCTCTCGTCTTTAACACAGAGTTCAGTGACTTTCATTGAGTTTGCATTCATAAAATACTTATTGAGGGAATAAATTAGCATGAACTCTACAGAGTGTCATGTTTGAAAAGTGATACTATAATTAGTTCTCTAGCGTTCTATTATGTCTTGATAAACGCTCCTGTAGATGGTGGCGGGTGGGCTTATGAGATACTGCACCCTTACTGAAACTGGCTCTCTGTTTTTTCACTTTGCCAGAGGTAAATCTGACAGACAGCAAGAAACTCTGTATGTGTGTTGTGTATTGTGTGTATATTTATATAAACATATAAAATACATATATATGTATATATATGGAGAGAGAGAGAGAGAGAGAGAGAGAAACAGAGACAGAGAGAGAATGAGTCTGTGTCTAGCTAAAAATACTATTTTGAAAGATTTTTTAAAACCTATTGCCATTCTCTTAAATAAATTTCAGTACAACTAGACTAGATGTGTGTGTGTGTGTGTGTGTGTGTGTGTGTGAGAGAGAGAGAGAGAGAGAGAGAGAGAGAGAGAGAGAGAGAGAGAAGGTCGAAGGTAGACGTAGGTGTCTTCCTCAGTTACTCTCTACCTTGTATCTGAAGACAAGGCCTCTTGCTGAATATGAAGCTCACAATTGACTAGACTCACTGCTCAACAATCCCTAGGGATCCTTCTGTTTTTGACTTTCTAATCTCTTCTCCATCTGGCTTTTACAAAACTATTGATTTTTTATTTTTGTTTTATGTGCTTGAGTGATTGCCTGCCTGTTATGTATATGTTCCACCCGTCTGTCTGGTGGCCATGGAAGCCAGAAGAGGGAGTCATTACAGTTTCCCTGATCTTGAGTTGTGAACCACCGTGTGTGGGTGCTTGGATCTGAACCCAGGTCCTCTGCTAGAGAAGCAAGTGTTCTCACCACTGAGCCATCACTCTGGCTCCATAAATCTGGTTTTTCCTCAAGCTAACAAGGCTATCACTTGACAGACTGAGTCTTCTCCCAAGCCCCAACTCAACATTTTTATTTGTTTGTTTGAGATGTGGTTTCACTGCATAGTCCTGGCTGTCTGGAACTCATTATGTAGACCAAGTTGACCAGGAACTCACAGAGGTCTACCTGCCTTTGCCACCTCAGTGCTACTATTAAAGGCCCATACCTCCATGCCTGGCCACCCTCCCAGTTTATTCTCAAGAAAAGGATCTACTTATTGAAGAGATACTTCCTGATTCAGAGCCAAAACTTTGTTTGAAGTAGGCTCAGAGGCTCTAGGCTCCAAGTCATGTGGCAGTTCTTGGAAATAATAAGATCTTTGCATTCTTTTTCAGCCTTCTTTAGGCCCTAGTTGTTTGGGCTCCTGTCTGATGGCCCCATTTGCATTCTTTTCCATCATGTACCCCACTACCATCAGACAAAAGGTAACAAGAGACAGAAGAGCTCTTGAACATGCTTGAAAAGCCAGACCTCTCTGCCAGGCAGAACCTTCCTCATGGAAATTCTATTTTTTCTCTCATATGCACAGAACACCTCATGTATCTAATAACAACACACATTATCTATCTAATTATCCAAATATTGTACAAATGTGATATGGAAGGTATTTTGTTTAACAAATCAGCCTATAGCCATTCTGAATAATTATCTTATGTGTGCACGTGCCTGCAAGAGAATGCTTTTACTATCAAAAAACCTGCTTTGAAATGTCTAGCAGTAACTTACTTCAGAGCATCTAGTCACTCAGTGATAATGCCCAGAACTTAGACACATGACTCTACATGACTCAGCTTTCCTTTTAATAACTTAAAATGCAAGGCTTAGGGTAACTCGAGAACACTTAAATACTCACCGATAGAAGGCAAGTACTGAATGTATGAAGTGCGGTTGGTGGAAATCTCTCTGAGAAGTACCAAGTACTGGATAGCAGACTAAATTGGAGAAAATATGCCCTGTCTGAAGAGAAAAGCCGTTGGTCAGCCCCAGGTGAATTTAGAATGCAAGAAATAAGATACCATGTTAAAAACAAACAAATGAACAATCAAAAAATCTTAATATGTATATATTTTTAACTAATTTTTTTAAAAAACTGTAAAGGACTAACCTGTGGAGTATGAGAACTTGCCTAGAAACTGTCATTTTCTACTGTGGACTGAACATTCCATATTTCAGTATCTGAGTCATGTAATAGAATATCCACATGGATATAAAGTTATAATTAGAGATGAGAGTCCCAGACTCTGGACCAATCCAGAAAATTTTAAACACACAGTATTTTGTAAAAGTTTAGTGGTGGCCTGATCATCTTCAGCAATGACATGGGGATTAGTAACAGAGCGGAGTGTTAGGGTTCCCATTCTAAGAGTGGAAAACAGACTTGATAAGTTGACAATAACCTGGTTCATTCTTCCCTCTTGAACAGGGGATCTCTGGTTTAGGAGAATCTACTAAATGCCCTGAAAGGACTTTATGTAATGTTAGTAGATATGGAAGGGTACTATAGAAATACACAAAGAAAGAGAAAGCTTCCACTTCAAAGCCTTCAGATCTGAGTGAAGATGAGGAGCATGCATGTGAAAGAAGCTGTTTGTGAAGACTGGGGTGTAGGGATTCATGCTGAGCAGTGCTAACACAGGATAGGACCAAGTCAAGTGAGGCCCATGATCCCAGACTTGGGAGATAAATGCCACCATTGTATTAGACCTTGAAGAAAGTCTGAGGCCAGACAAGGCAGAAATAAACAAGCTCCGCCGGCCCATTGTATCTTGTTTTGGAGACAGGAAGAAGAAAGTAAGGGATGTCCAAGAACATTCAGGTAAACAAGGTAAATGACAGCAGATGTGAATGAGAGCACGGACCTAGAGGGTCTCACAGTTCTGAAAATGGAATAATCATCCAGAGTAGGGCAAAAATAAAACTTACCGAAAGTGTCCATTTGAGTCTGTTTTAATATTGTATTTGATCTGGTTTGTCAGAATTGTCAGTCTTATTTTAACCAAAACTTGTGTTTTATTGAGATACCTGGTTAAATGTCATAAATATATCACTATTAACAATTCAACAGAAGAAACATTTAGGAAAATCACAGGCTCAGTAATCAAACAACACAAGTAGAGAGCACAGAGTAAATTTTGATTACTATTAGTGATCAACAAGACATGGAGAAGAGATGTGTGAAGAAAGCAGGAAGACACAGATCCACATTTATTTTGTCATTTGATAGCCTAGTAACCAGGGAAAGTGACATGGGCAAGTTGTCCAGATCTTATCAGTCTCAGTTTCTTTCCATGTAAAGTACACATGGTTCATACTTTATGGATTTGTTCTAAAGATCTGTAATAACAAAACTTGAGCGAGAATAGGTAGCATTAAGCAGTAGCTATTATTATTAAAATAATCATAATCAATCCTCTGACAATTGTAACTTCCCTTGTAAAATTCATAAACAATCTACCAATGAATCAGTTCCCCATGCAACCCAAATATCTTTATTAGGAATCTGAGGTCTAGAACCGTAAAAAGAGAGTCATTTCCAAATTTCTTCACCATTAGTATTAATAATTAGCAATAATTAATCAATTTAGACATTGACCAGTTGAGAGTCTTAACTGCCACTACATATAAATGTGTGTAGATATAGTATATATGTGTGTGTGTGAACAAATGTATGTATACGTATGTATCAACAAATGTTTGCGATAATTTAAATTACTATGTTTATACAAAGAAAAAATGTAGAGACTTTGCCCTAGGATTCTTAGAGAAAATTAATCTGCTGATTCTGAATCCTTGCTGTTTTTCTACCATGCCTTGTTGCGTCCCGAGGATGTGTTTTGTTGTAAGACAGCGGATGCTGCTGGGTGTAGCACAGTTCTATACTGTCAGCTTCACTGCAGAGCAGAGAGAATGAGGTACTGCTGCAGCCTTGCTGTGAAGCCTAAAAAGGGACACAGCCCAGGAAAGGGGAGAAGAAGGGCCCAGGACCAGAAGGCCTACCTCTCAGTGAAGCTTGAACTGAAGTACACCGAACCAAGGTCATTTATTTGGAGACTTCTGCACAGCCAACACACTCCTACTCAAGAAAGGGAGGAAAGGCCACTCTTGATTTGTGTTTATGAAACTGCAAATCATTCTTCCATAAAATACAGGAAGTCCTCCCTGGAGTGCATAATGTGAATGCCAAAAGTCAATTAATGACATTTAAAACTACAAATTAAAAACAAAAAAAATCACAAATCTGTATCCATATTAAAAAATTCTATCAATCATCTATCTATTTTCTGTATATAAGCCTGCTGTAAGTGGGATAAAAAGCAAGAGATATAAAATGTAACAATTGCATAAAATTGTTTTCATCTGGATTTAAGTCTAGCACCTAAAAAATGAACTAAAAAAAATCTCATCTGTGAAAAAGCAAGATTAAATTATTCAATAGTTTCTTTATCAAAAATATTTCAGACATTGTTCAAAGTATCCATTTCCCCACTCTGGTAGAATAAGATTGTTGATTTCACTTCATTCAGAAAGAACACAAAAGGGAAATAGAGAATTACATGTCAGCTTAGCACTTTTGAAATGTATACACTTCAGCTGTCATAAATGGTTGATTTTCATTTGCTTTTTAATACTTGTGAATTACTGGCTTTTCAATAATTCTGAGTATCAAATACACCTTTTAAAATGAGCCAAGTGGAGAAAGTTATTGCTTTAAGAATTATCAGTTATACGTATTCTCTATCACTATTTTTTACTCCAGAAAGCTGCAAACATCTGCACTGATTACAATTAAAAACAGTGTAAGAGATTATCACTCCAATTATAGCCTCCTGGTCTAATCAAAATTCAGCCCTGTTCCAGACATCGAGCGACGGGTGTGACGCCCATATGCCTTTTGCTCTGCACGGGAACCTCCCCAAGTTCTGCTGCTTTTCTCTAATCAATGAATATGTATAGTTGTCCTGAATTTGTCTTTATCGGAAAGTAGCATTTTATGTGGATAAAATTTCAAGGCTCTTGAAACTCTATTTTTCCTTTTAGTTCATATAAACCCACTTGGAAGAAAAAAAAAGACTACTATTGTATTCAACAAAGAAGTTTCTGACTTTCCAAGTTTTTTTTTAAGTTATTATTTTAAGAAATTCACTATGTTTGGTTTACATATTATTATTGTAATATTATTCTCTCCAAAATGGATAGAAAACATGCTAGATCTGAAATATGCTTACATTAAATCAGTAGTTATTACATAGGAATAGACTTTACAATTTTAATTAATTTTAAGTGTAGAAAATAATGCATCTCGTTGTGACATTTTCATACACACAGACATCACTCACCCCACTGCCTCCCCCCCACATTCCTCTTCACTCTCTCGCTGTTTTTCTGATGTTAGAAGTAAGTTATTTTTATATATGGAAATAAAACAGAAGTACCAATAATGTACCAATTACTAGAAAATATTAAAAATGAATAGTTTTTAATTATATTCAGATATATTATATGTAAACTGAGAATATATTATATTCTCAATTTCCATGAGAAAGTTATAATTAAAGGTAAGCTAAAAAAATCAACCACTTTGAAATAGTAGAATATATAGATATACTAGGTAAACATTTCCTGAATGTAGATAGATAGATAGATGATAGATAGAGAGATACATGGATGGATAGACAGACAGACAGACAGATAGATGTAGATATGATCAGTAAGCATTTTGTGGTTAAGATTGTTATGTTGCCATTCAAGAAGTAGATAAAAAGAGGAAAACGGCATTCTACAAGGCATAGTTTTCTTCTATAGTTATTTAAAAGGTAAAAATTTAGATTTGGCATATTTATGCACATTTATACTAAAATTTGGTGCAAAGTTTGATAATCAAAGAAACAGTTTTTGAAAAGCATCCATACTTTAAAATATGTGTGCCTTTGTCTAAGTAACATGTTGAAAATATAAATTTTCAAAAAGAATACAACTAAGACAAATGCATCAGACCAATGTTCACATCGTGTTTCAAATTTCTATTTATAATGGAACCACTGAAATAGAATGTTCTAATATATATATATATATATATATATATATATATCATGTGTATATGACATATGATATATATGATATAAATATGCCAAAAGTGAGGGAAAAGAACCACTACAATTATTTCCTGTTGCAATATTACTTGAAATATTTGAAGTACTGTGTTTGCTTATTAAGTTATTTTAAGTAAACTTTTTAAAATTCAAAGCCTGGATGAGCATTTGAGTACCACTCCAGCTTGCATTTCTTACTGATCTCCAACCACATTAAAATCTGTATGGGTTTTATGCCAGGAAGCCTTCATAATTCCTGTTTCATGGGGGAAAAAAAGCTGAAGCTTTTCCCAATATTATCTCCTCTATCCAGTGACATAAAATCGCTGACCGAAATCATGCAGAGGTCTATTTTAAAAAATTAAAAATCAACTTTTTGTCTCCTTAAAAGACATCTCAATGAAACATAGAAGTAGTTGTCCAAGAAAGCCATATTCTTAGAAACAATAATATAGTATCAAAAATGTATGAATCAATGAAATAAAAAAGGATTCCTAAGCTTTTGAAATAAATCTCAACTAGTAAAAAAAATCCAGTGTGTGACACTAGTTGAAGTTGACTTATTAGACGAAGTATCAGCGGCACGCCTCTGTACACGTGGTGCATAACGACACTTTAAAGCTATTTTGCAAAGTGAAAAAAACTACTTTAGCTTTTAAACAATTTACAGGTCGATACTCCGAGTGCTGCTCCCAGGGAAGCACGCCCGCGGGCCGACCTAAGAAGAGAATCCAGAACATAACTGATTTAGGTTCTGTGTGCTTCCAGGAAGCAGGAAGTCCGTTCTTTGATGCTCTGGCCTCTTTCAATCTCATCCCATGGGTTCTGGGGAGATGGTGCATTTAGAGGAAAGCCTCAAAATACCGAAAGAAAACAAAGGTGTGGGAAACAAGCCACGTCTTAAGTCTTTCAGAAAACTGAAAATCAAAACATGAATTTGTGAAAGAAGTGGGAGTGCAAACTAAGAAAACAGAAAACAGAAGGAAGCTTGAGAAGGGCTGAGGAAGGAGAAGAGAGGGGAAAGGGCTGAAGAAGGGAAGAGAGGGCCAGAGGAAGACTAATTCCACCCAAACTAACGTGGTACCCACACTTAAAGTCACGTTACTGAAACTGAGGAGATATTTTATTCTAAAAGTATTCATGTTTTTCCAGCAAAATAAGCATCACGTTTCTACATTTTTTTTGAGTAGAGGTGGCTACTCCTCTCTACAGTTGCCCCAAACACCATCTAAATCCGAACCCGGGTTGCTCCCTGAGATCCGCGGGTCTGGGCCAGACTTCGCAGACGGCCACTAGATGGCATGAAAGCACCGTACTGGACCTGCAGCCGCCTTGCCCAGCGGGGCATTGAGGGGTTTATTCTCTCAAGCTGGGAGCTCAGTGTTAGTCCCGTAAGATGCCTTTTCTTTGAGAAAGATCTTTCTGTGTCGCATGACACTTTTCCAGGACACAAAGGGAGTATTCTGCCCTCCCTCCAAGCACATTCAGAAAATGTCGGATTAAATTTGGAATAGTAAAAATCATGTCGGTGTTTGCTGGGGTTTTCTGAGAACTTTACTCTCCTCTCTTTGGGGGATAGTGTGCTATTTGTTATGTAGCCTTCCTTAATGGGTGGACAGAAAAGTCTCCCCACCTGCAGACAAAGTTTGCATCTTTCTTTTTCTTGATTTTTCTTTTCATCAAAAATTCTCTTTCTTTGTCTTTATCTCATGTTGTGGGGGCCTCTCATTAAGAGCTGTAACGTGAAATGCTGGACTTAAAGCTGTTCTCACAAAGGAGACAATCCCCTCTGAACATCCTCTACCAGCCAGGCAAAGCATGTCTTTGTTTAAAGTTTTTGTTTGGTCACTAGGCATTATCTGGTTGGCCCCTCCACACCTGCAGATACTTTTTTTTCTTTTTATATATGTGGTGTGTTTCCTGTTTCCCAAGATACCTATGAAGCATGTCGCTCCCTGTACCTCCACAACAGGACCAATTACCATATCCCTTCAGATGTTAACACTATTTGCCTTCACAAAATGTCCATTGTAAAAGGGTGTTTTGATCTTTGGGTGAGTCCCTTAATTTAAAATAATGGCAAAAGGAGAAAAATAGGCCTCCGTGCTCAGCCGTGTGTGAATGACAAATCTGTTGCAGATGAGGGATATTTTTAATATTCCTTTAAAAATCTCATAGAAGATTTACATATGGTCAAAAATGGTATTATACGTTGGCAAGCTGAAGGGCATAATTTATTTCATGTGCTGCTGATATAGCTACGTCTATATGTCTAGTGGACTTTACAGTTCGATAGATATGAAATCATACCAGTTCAAAATCTCAAGGATTTCTAAAATATTATTCTGTTACCCACCCTTGAAAGACTTTCATTCCTTGTATAGCCTGTAGAGTGTCCAAGAGTAAGATGTATCATCTGAAATATTTTCTTAGCTCTGATCCATAAATCTACTAAAACTGGAGATTCTATCAAGGCATCTAATTAAAACATTTAGTAAAACAAAGATCCAATGATGTAATCGTACCTTTTTAAAATGCAGATGTTAGGAAATCAGAGGGCACCATAGTGGCAAAACTTGCTTTACAGGCAGTGTTATGTGTATTTTCCACTCTGTATGGCTCTGGATTGAGGAAATATCAGTTCATTTGTGGTGCTAACATATGGCATGGCTAATAATTTACATCTTCAATTTTTCTCATATTTGATAATAACACTGTCTTTACTCTGGGTATAACCCCCAAATTCCAATGACTGTTGTAACATGTAACATACCAACATGATTGATGGAAGACAGCTAGGATGAGACACAAATCAGGACCCCTATGCATGCCCAACTGAGCGTCCCCTCCTGATGGTGTTAACTTGAGAGACATAAAACAAGACTGATATTCTAGCGCACTAAGACAATGTCTTAACATGTGGTTGCAGCTTCCTTTAAAAGACCGTGGGTTTCTGCTTGTTTGGCCTTGCTTCTCAGTATTTAACATCTAAGATGGTGATGAGCAGAAGTCACTCTGCCTGGTCATGCACTGGGAGAGCGTGAACCCCGCAG